AAATCATTGATAATATAAATATAAATTTAATACCTAGATAAAAAGTGTACCGTTAACTATCATAATAATAACCTAACTTAGGATTTCTTAGGAAGTTTTGTGATAAAATAATATCAATAAATTAGTTTATTTTTATGAATAATTTTATGAGATATTATATACTATTTGTAATCAGAATGTACAAGATCGTTCCACGGCCGTTTTAAAGTGTCGGATAAAAAATGTTTATACAGATTTTGAATCTCAAATATTACTCAATTACATAAGATTAAGGGCAAATATTTTAGTGTTTGAAATTGCATTCAAACAATCTAATGTGCCAATTGAGGATCCGACAACTACATTCATTATTTACCAAAAGGATTATATTGTCAAATAAAAAAAGAAATTTGAGAAACCATTCAGCACTTTTTTATTTATAGCATTCTCAAAAAAAAGTTGTTTGACCCCATACTACCAAATACTACTTTTTAATAAATAATTTTATATATAAACAAGTGGAATTAATGTCGATAAAACTGGAACAAATGCTGATCAAATTTGAGGAGAACAAGATATATATTATACTAAATTTTTAAATTTTAGTGATTATTTACACGATGAATTATAATTATTTGACTTAAGCCTATGCACGCAACCTTAAATTTTTACCCTCCTAACAAACCTAAATTTTGTAATATTCATTTTAGTAATTTTTAATATAGTTTGATAATTGATAAAAAATCTCAGTTACTCGATATGTCAGCTATTGAAAATATTCTATTTTGCTCGTCAGTAGAATCCGTTATTCTATTTCACGTCATTAGAATGTTATCTATTCCATATTATTAGAATTTTACTCGTCAGTAGAGTTTCTTTTAGTATTTCAAGTCATTATAATTTTTAATTCTTCTAGTTAGTAGAGTAATATTTACACATGATTTACACTTTATGTTTTGCGTGTCAGTAGAGTCCCTTTTTGTTCTAACTTTAGCTGTGCTTCTCAATACTGTACTATAATTTATACAAAAGTAGAGTCCTTATTAAATACACGTATACATGGTCTGCCAAATTACTTCTTTTTTGAAAATGAGAAATAAATACTGAAATCTCAAATTTCTTTTTTTTATTTGTAACTACAATCCTTCCGGTTAATAATGAAAAAAAAAATCAAACGGCTGACCACTGAAAATAAAACCAGTGGTGTATGGCATCGTGCAATGAAGCAAATTTGATTGATTTCAAATATATTATTATAAATGCAGTAACTTTCATTATTCTTGTTTTATAGACAAAATATAAGAGCTTACATATCGGACTACGTCTTTTATATATGTTTACACAAAAAGTGAATAAACAAAACTTGATCAATTAGAATTAAAGGACCTATTCTCATATTTCTACTAAAATTTCAGCAAAGTTAAAATTATTTATATCAAGTGTATAAGTGAGCTGTAGAATTTTCCTTGAGGCACGTTGCCATGTACCACTTCCAGTTTTGTGTGTAAAAAAGTGTATTTTCAACGTTTTTCGAAATGGCGGCAAAACGAGCGTCCCTTCTCTCCGCCAGCCAATCGATACCGCAAAGGAGATCGCGTTTCGATAAAAAACGTTTTGTCGTCGGAATTTAATCCGAAACGTGTATTAAATTACCCGGTGATACCCTATTAGCCTAAATACACGCCACAAACCATCTGTTTTTGCTATATACGTATATTTTTCTACGGTGGAGCGATCTTGTACCTAACCCGTTCTCGTTTCCCTTTCGCAGTAGCAACAAACAAAGTAGTTGAACTGTAGTGTTTTGTGTAGTAGTGTTCGTCCTTTCACGTCAAACGAAAAAGATTTATATTTATACAAAATATATTTATAAACAAAAGAAACAAATTAGAAAATTTAATTTAAAAAATTAAAAAATAAAAAGAAAATTTAAACCGAAGTTTAAATTTTTGGGTCTTCCAATTTTCGTCCAAGACGACGACGACCTGGTTATTATAAATATAAAAAGTAAGTAATAGTAATAATAATAATTAATATTTTTAAATGAAATGTAAAAACATGGATCCGACATTTAACGTAATCTTATTTTTCAATGGCCAGCCGAGGCTGAAATTTGAGAAAAAATTCAGTAGTTTACTTTTTATAGCATATTCAAAAACAAGTTATTTGGCGGACTTTGTGATATTTTATACAAAATTTAAAAAACGCACAATCTAAACGCCCTTGCAAATATATTTGTACTAGATTGTAACTTAGACTCTTATATAGATCGTTTCTTCCTCATTTTTTTTAATAATTTTCACCAAATTGAAAATGTTCCGTATGATCAGAATCTAAATTCAATTGCTAATATATTTATGAGAAAATAACACATACACAATGTTTAGAGGCGTTTTTTTTAAAATGGACTGAAAATATTATATCTTAATACTGAAGTAATATTTGTGATTACTATTATAAAATATACCAGATATTTTTAGGCCTATTCTTGGATAAGCTCATCATTATCTTTCTAGTAAATCAAGAGGATCAAATTCAAGAGGAAACAAAAAAAACTATACTTATTTTAAAACAAACTTACATCGTGTATTAAAGATAATGAAAAAAATTATACCAGCAATCTTATTGTTTTCTAAAGTCCGTCAATTCGATATTTGAATTCAGTCCGACGATACCTTTCTAATGATACCCCACACGCCATCACAAAGTTTCGACCCGTTATTTAATCCATCGTACGTGCATTAATTCATTACATCTCTCGTAACTTCTGACCGGCTTGTCCGATTTAACCAAAATATTCAATAAATTTGTACAAAATTAAATTGTTCACAAATTTTCTTAATAACAAAATCTCCAGAGCTACTTTATATTCTGCAAAATCAACGCAAAAATAAAAAGGAAATTCCATGCTCTATTGGTATCATGTCAACATCGATGCATCATTTCTGACACTTTTGAACTGAATTATTAACAGATGGCAGTGCGATAGTGGAGGTACTGCTTGGCACAGACCGATGTATATATATATATATATATATATATATATATATATATATAAAATAACACGTCTATCGTGTATGTTCGGTTCCACAAAAGTGATATATCGATTACGTCTTCACCATTATAGGCAGCCAAAGTTCAAGTCAATTATATACGAGTATAAGATGCACATACATACATATATATACACACACATATATATATATATATATATAATATTTATAAATAAAAACTGCAAAATTGCCATGAGAATGATTACCTTAATGAAACAAGATTCAGCAAATCTTCTACTTTTAACATTTTCCTAATTAATTAATAAAATCTCAACAAATTAAACTAAGAATTAATACAAATAATTAAATCGTAGAACGTAATTTTAAATTGCTTTACATTTTTGGAACTATATGTTGATTCAGTATATTAAAAATATATTCAAATCATTCACCAAATCCACTTAATAAACTGAATCGGTAATTCAAAAGTACACAAAAGATTTCTTCTATTCTTAATTTATATATAATACGGCAAGCTGATATTAATAAACTAATCCACTATAGTTTCCTGTTCATTGAAATTAATTTAAAGAACTTCAAAGAGCAAGTTCTACTAATAGGCTTATGTTCTCCTGGAGGAAAACTTTTCTCTGTTTTCCTTTATTTTCCGAGCTTCATATTCGAGATTTTGGGTTTCGGTTCTTGAAAGTTTCAAATAACAAGTTTAGATAATTTTAAGCTTTTTTTGTAATGAAGCGCGATACACTATATTTTAATACAAACCGCTGATTATACATAAATAAAAAAAATAAAATTATATTACAAAGCAGTAATAATAATATTTTTAAAGAAAAAATTAAAAAATTTAGAAATTTAAAGTATAGATTTATTTTTTCTATCTAGATTATGGTTAAAATTGTTATTTAAAATTACTTGCAATACTTAAAATCATTTATTTTAAGAATGTGTGCAAGTTAGTGCACCTCTTGTAGGAAAATATATAAATTTACAATATAGATAAAATATATGCCAAATTTTTTTGAAAATGCTATAAAAACTGAATATTATAATTCTCGTTTATTTTATGTATTATTGAAATGGTTTAAAAAACGTTACATGATGGACCCTGTATTAAAAGCAATATTATTAAAAAGTTTACGAGTCTAAGTGATAACCTCTCGGAAATATGTAAGCAATTGAATTTAGGCCCAGTCTAAGTTACACTGAAAAATAAAAACGTTAGATGGTGGACCTCGATATTCAAATAGCCTTTCATCAAGAATTTTACAATGACATAACCGTCTAGTAATAAAAATTAGCAACCTGTCAATAGGCTTTTGAAGGAAATAGGAAATTTAAATAATCGATTATAATTGGCAACCCTTCGATAGCTTAATTATTCTCAATTAATGGGCCAAAACTATCAATTGCCGAAACATCATGCCGAATCGAGCGTGAGTCAATTATTAGTTGGTAGGAGCAACTCCTACTTATCGAGGAGGATCAGACGAGGCGTCCAAATGTAATTTTACACTCGGTTGCTCCCAAATGTCAACTTATTCCGTCCTCCACCGCCCAATCTCCACCTACATTCCCTATAATCAGTCCGCGATAATTGAATTAGTGGTAGACCGATGGGTTGCTCTTAGGTGTGTGGGAATTTAATTGGTAATCAAGGAAGTTGGCCATAACAATTTTAATAATTATTTTTAGAATTTTTTATACATGCTGAATGATGTCACAATTACAATATCAAAACGGACAGAATAAATAGTTAATTATTGAGCTGCAAATAAACATTCCAAGAATATGTTTCAACATCGAATAAAAAAATTTAAAATATATTTTTCATGTAGAGAGAGTAAGAAAGAATGGTAAAGAGATAAAGAAAGAGAGTAAGTGATAGTTAGAACAAAAAAGCTAAATGAGTTCGCATGATTTTTTTTTCTATTTTTTTCTAACTATATGTTTTATTGATAATAATATAGTATTTTATATTAATAGTATCATTTTTTCCCCCTTTTTCAGATGGTGACGAGGACAAAAAAGATTTTCGTGGGCGGTTTGAGCGCTCCCACGACATTAGAGGACGTCAAATCATATTTCGAACAGTTCGGACCGGTGAGTTAAAAACCAAAAAAAATCAACAACTAAATAATTATCAATATATTAGAATAATTCCTAAAAAGTCGAAAAATTTTCTTTGTTCTTTTCAAAAGAGTATTAAAAATTTTCGACCTTGAAATGACCTTCAGAATTATACCTCAATCGCTGAATAGAGTTTTGAGCAATATAAAACATCTTGTCTATTAACATAATTAATTTATTTATATTTGATACCTTCTAAAAATAATAATATTTAACAATGTTTATAGTTCTGTATGTTATTTCGATATATCCCTCGTGTGTAACATTTCCGAGCAGATGTCGACATGTCATCGCGCGCGAATTTCGAAATTGACATCCCGAGCTATAAATAATATATATGAGATTTTTTTAAGACTAAAAATACCTTTTTGCGGAGTACAGAAAACACTGAGGTTTCTTCAAAATCAACAAAAAAAATTGATTTTGAGTTGTTCTAGAGCACAATGATGTTATACAATATTGTTAAATATTTAATTTTGTATCAATTCGCAGAATACATCATTCATAATATGCGAATGGTTTTAAAGATATGGCAAAAATAATCCATTAATGCTTTAAAATTAATTATTAAGTATACAACTTTGCTTCCGCCGTTTTTACAACGCGAGTTCTTTACAATGATCATTGTTTATCATTGCAATGATAAACAATGATCATTGTAAAGAACTCGCGTTGTAAAAACGGCGGCCTTCAAGGCGGCAGCAAAGTTGTATTCTTTAAATTGCGATTTTAAAGCATACAGAGTTGCTGCATGGCTCAATGATATTAGGCAACATTGTTAATCATTTGATTTTGTATAAATTTGTCGGATACGTAATTCATATTAAATAAAAGGATTTGAAGTTCATGCATATATAATACGTTAGCGCTTTAAAATTGAAAATGTTAAGTCCACAACTTTGCTTCCGCCCTTATTGTAAAGAACTTGCGTTGTAAAAACGGCGGAAGCAAAGTTGCACGTCTAATAATTACTATACATATGCCATAACTTTAAAACCACTCGCTTAATATGAATGATGTATTTGACAAAATTGTACGAAATTAATCAATCTACAAATGTTTCTAATGATGCAGCAACTCGGTATACTTTAAAATCGCAATTGAAACGAAACAAATAATCTGAAAATAAAGAAACCCAGTCGTTGGTCAATATGCAAATTGCCATCCTCGCCACCCGCCCCGAGTAACTCAGTTATTGTAATATAATATCGAAAATCGAGCGTAAGATTCTATTTTCAACGTTTAAAAGTAAAGAACCTTAAAAATCAGTTTAAGGTGATTTCGGAGATAACTGACAGCTGAGCCCGCTACGAATGTATGTATATATATATATATATATATATATATATATATATATATATATACATTTATTTATTCGTATGTATATATCGGTGTGCCTAGAACCCCGTGAGCGCTTACTGGATCAATAAAAGCTACCCTCTCTCCATCTCTTTCCGCCGCATGCGAGCCCTTTGCTCACTTTTATACCTGTCCCACTCTCACGTTCAACCCCTATACATATATATGACATTATTAAAGTGTTAGTAGCTACTATAGATCGTTCCTACTCTCTCTCTCTCTCTCTCTCTCTCTCTCTGTTTCTATTTTATCTCGTTTTCTCTCTATTTGGATAGAAAGTTTCTAGAGAGCGAGAGAGAGAGAGTTGGTCCTAAAAACAATCCGTCGGGCCGGTTCCAGGTTTTTGTCGGTGGTATTGTTTGTGTTGTTTGCGTTATGTAATAGTCGAAGGAAATATTTGTTTTTACGATTACGCGTTCAAAGGATTATTGATAAGTTGCCTCTTCGATGTCCGAGAATCATGTGGCAGGGTTGTTTTTTCTCCTAAACCAAGGAAAGAATTTGATAGATGAAACAAATATATATCAGAATATTATGAAAAGTGGTAATTTGGATTAAGTTGCATCAACTTCCTTGTATGTATGTCCTTAATAAAAGCATGATCTATAATTCCAAACTTCAACTATTTTTCAAATCACCCACAAGTATAGACAAAACATTTAACATTGCATACAAAATTATATACAATTTTAAAGACTGCCATGGAATGTATGTGGGTGAAACAGGACAGCATTTAATACAACAATTAGATTTCAAATATAAGAATCAAAATTTAACTATTATCACTGATCACATAAAAAACTAGCTGTAAGTGGAATTCTGTCTTAAGGCAATTAAGGCATCGTGCCTTATCAAATTAAAAATAATCAATAATAATCAATAAAAGTTGATCAATGATTTGAAACTTTTAATAGAATTTCGAACCATATTAAATCATTCTATCTTAAATCATTTATTTTGAAATATTTTGGAAATCCTGAACTTTTTTCAAAGCAATCGTACTGCTTTAACTGCATAATAACAAATATCGAAGCGCGTAAGCGCTACGTCGCCGTCTAATGGATAAACATTGTACGGTACGGAACCCATAGGAATGTAAACAAAATTTTACTTATTGTTACAATCTCTATAAAATATCTGATAATATGATGTGCATATGTCTAATGATCATTTTTGACCGTCAAATCATTTTTTTTTACTTTTTTACTAGATCTCCGAAACCGTTAGACCTGCCTTCCTGTTTCATGAAAATTTGAGTTCTTTGCCTTGTTAATACAAGTAAAATGTTTTTTGAATTATTCAAATCGGACGCTCCGTTCTCTTAAAAACTGAGTTACCGTTTTTGGCACTTTTTGGAAACGGCTAGACCTGCCTTCGCTAAAACTAATCAGCACGTTTTCTTATCAATACGAATCGAATGTTTTTTGAATTATTCAAATCGCTTCATCCGTGTTCCCGAAATCGTCGACAAAAATTGTATCCGAATACACACACACACACACAGACATCCATTTTTTCTAAGGTATGCCAAAATGTTCAGAAGGTTTTAAACGTAAAGATATATAAAAATTTTCATTTTCGATTTTTTTGCGATTACTATAACTTGCCCTACGGGAAGTTAATTATAATCATAGCTTCAGTTTCGTTTTTATCATGTGACTAAGGGGCTTTTCAAAATCATTTTAATATCATTTTTTTATTGCAATTACTTTTATGTGGTGCATTCTTTATTTTTGAGCTATTCTTATTCTGTCTCGCTATTTTCCATAAGTAGTCCACTGATGATGACATAATGAAACGTTTGGCAGTTCAATAAATTTCTTATAAACTTCTACAAAATTTACTTTGGTATATTCGTTAATTATTATAGTTGTATCGCTCCACCGTATCGTATCGTTTCGTCGAATAATAATAATAATAAGATGAACATTTTCGTCTTAATTAAACAAACGCAATTAACACGTGTGTTATAATAAGCGAAATCTTGTTACCGGCGGCTTTCGAACTTCACAAATTACATCTAAATATATTCATAATGCACATACACTTGAATATATACAGACATATATTCATTACATACATAACACAGATATTCAAGGGTTCCTCTGTTTTGTACTTATAATTTATATTACTAATACAATTTGCATTGCTAATATTAGGGTCTTTATTATTTTAATGTATAGTCAATGCTAGTATTTAATTTAAAAAAAACTTTAAATTTAAGGAAGTGCAAAGACGCACTCCACTAGTTAGATTTTAACAATCGAATAAGAGACATCAATAATTGACCAAGACTATTTGTTATCCAGAAAATAGCTTTTTGTAAATAAGTTCCATCTCGTGCAATCCATTTCATACTAACAAGATTTATATATATATATATATATATATATATATATATATATATATATATATATATATATTTATATAACAATAAAGTTCACTTCGGGAATACTCGAATTGATGATGTTAACTTTTCTGAAAGTTCGGTTTGTCCAAAATAAAAAGTTTGCTTTTCTGTAATTGCCTCCCTACATCCATTCCATTATATATATATATATATATATATATATATGTGTGTGTTGTGTGTGTGTGTGTGTGTAATGGATATATACACCCTTGTTCCATATAAAAGTTTTGTCATCAATAAGATTGCTTTTTCTTCCATACAAAGCATTGTACAATATACACATACATATACGTATGTATGTATGTATGTATATATGTATGTTTGTAGGATTTGTATCTCCTGATCTGCAGATATGTAAATTCGTTGTTGTTTTCTCGAATTTGAACAAAACGAGGATTTCGAAAGTGAAAACAAATATGTCTGAGGGATTCCGAATAATATTCGAGATGGATTTTCATCAGGAATACCAAAAAAGAGCAATTGAAGAAGGCAAAACTTGAGTTTTGAAACATGCGCGAATGTAATTTAGGATTAGTGATGAGTTAAATTAGGAGCCGAAACGTCTGCGTTTATAATTGAACTTTAGAATAAAAAAAGTAGACCAATTTAATATAATAATATACTATATAATTACAGTAGCCACATTTTGCTTACACATCTTCATTTTTTTTTAAATATACTAAATATTCATTTTCTAAATTATGAAGAGTGTGTTATAATGAGTTATGAAGGAGGAGGAGAGATTTAAAAATGTTTTGGCATCTTAACGAGGCCCATCTTAAAATAAATCGGGGCCGATGATCGATGAGACATTAGTCTTCTAACGACGACGAAAAAGATTTTATTAAAGATATAAATATGAACAATCTAAAATATTATATATATATACATATATATTTAAAATATAAATATAAACATTAATAATGTTTTCCTCAATTTCAGATTGAAGACGCGATGCTAATGTTCGACAAACAGACCAACAGGCACAGGGGTAATTATCATTATATGTAATATAAAATTAATTAAATACTATTTCATAAATATCGATATTATTATTATAATTACTAAAAAATCTTGGATTTTTCCACAGGGTTCGGTTTTGTCACATTCCAGAGTGAGGACGTCGTGGACAAGGTGTGCGAGATACATTTCCACGAAATAAATAACAAAATGGTAATTATATAATTAATTCTATAAACTAACAAACATTTAAATGAAAACATCGCTACTTGAAATCGTCTAATTACTCTTAGGTGGAGTGTAAGAAGGCCCAGCCTAAAGAGGTGATGTTGCCGGCCAACTTGGCCAAAACCAGGACGGCCGGAGGAGCTCCTGGTTCACGAGGGGCATACGGTAAGACAATGCATGATCTTTTTACAACAAATTTGCCTTTAACATCGATTTACAATTCACTAGTCGATATAAATTAACAATACACACTTTTAATAAATTTATAGTAAACGAGCTTGAAGAAGTTTTACTTGAAAAAAAATATATATTGTGTTTTTTGGTATGTTGGGTATCGTTTGAAGAGTCTCTTTGAAAAGAATCCGAGTACTGAAATTAACTATGTGTTTTATCCACAAAAATAAAATAAAATTAACTTTGCAAATTGTTCTCAAATTATACACTTTTTACGAATTTGTAGGTGAGGTGCCTAAAGAAGTTTACTACAAAAATTTTAGATTGTATGTTTTACGGCATGTGGGACATTTTGAATAGAATCTGAACACTGAACTATGTTTCCAAATCTCTGAGCATAAAAGTCTTGTAGTCCAGTCATTTGGTGCAAAAAAAGGCTGTTGTCGGTACAGTACTCGGGGAATTCTGAAAATTGATAATCTTATAGATTTTCGAGGTGCTCTTTGCGAAAATCAACTTTGCCACCTCAAATTGCCGTTCAAATTTGAGGTGGCAAAGTTGCCGCCAAAAATGGCGTCAAAAAACAGCTTTTCTGAAATATCTCCTTTCTGGCTCATTCTACGATAAAAGTATCTATGTACGAATTAAACTAGATAAAATTTCCTACAATTCTTTAGGAAATCATTTTTTTGTAAAATTGATAGTTTGAGAGTACGGCCGCCTCAAAGTCTTTGCTGCTCTTGCCGTAGTATCAAATCTCTCCATATATATATGACAGCACTTTGAACTTGACCACATTCTTTCTAATAAATAAATATTTTCAATGTTAAATTAAGCGAATAAGATCCAGAAATAAAATAATTGGTTTAACAAAATAAAAGATATTGAATAAATTATAGAAAGCTTTTTCTAGTTTAATTTTGTTTATAGCTACTTTGCTATTGAAGTGGTAAAAAATCAGCAAAAAACAGGAAAATATTTGAATTATTTTATTTCTAGATCTTATTCTCTTAATTTAACATTGAAAATATTTATTTATTAGAAAGAATGTGGTCAAGTTTAAAGTGCTGTCATATATATATGGAGAGATTTGATACTACGGCGAGAGCAGCAAAGGCTTTGAGACGGCCGTACTCTCAAATTATCAATTTTACAAAAAAATGGTTTTCTAAAGAATTGTAGGAAATTTGATCTAGTTTAATTCGTACATAGATACTTTTATCGTAGAATGAGCCAGAAAGGAGATATTTTGAAAAAGCAGTTTTTTGACGCTATTTTTTTAATATGGCAGCAACTTGCCGTTCAAATTTGAGGTGGCAAAGTTGATTTTCGTAAAGAGCACCTCGAAATCTATAAGATTACCAATTTTCAGAATTCCCGGAGTACTGTACCGGCAAAACGACCAAATGACTGGACTATTGATAGTTGATAGAAATTGCATCCACGATTATTCAATATAGAAAATCAATTTTTTTTATCGATAGTAGTAGTAACAAATATCAATTACTAGTTTACTAAAAATCATCCCTCTACTTTATATCGACTAGTGAACTCATCCCCTAGTATCTATAAATCACGCCACTGCCTGTTCTGCCCGTTTACCTTATCGGCCTTAGAGAGCAAACAATCTACTCCCCTATGTCACCATCTATCTAGGTCACCACCATCCACTAAACCATCACACGAACCACCATTTGAACCACCACCACCACCAGCAACAGCAACAACCGACCCAAATCGTCCTATTGCAACAGTCGCCGTCGATCGGCGCCAACCAGAGATACGCACCGTACCCGAGTCTGGTGCCTCTGGTGCATCTCCCGTACGAGGTGCACGCCCTCAATAAGCGTAACGGCGGCGCCCTTCTGGCCCAGCCCGGCGGGGTACTGGGCCAGAGTAGGGCCGCCGCTGCTTTGGGGGGCCTCGGTGCGGTCGCGGCGCCGCACCACAGGGGGGGAGCCCAGAACGGCACCCTGACTCTGGCCTATGCGCCAGCGGAATTGCTGGGGGTTCAGGGGTTGGATTTGGCCCTTTATCACGGGTTACCCACTTTGTAAGGGGATAAAGGGATGGATAGATGAATCTGAATTTATTGTACGCAACACACACAAGCACTACAATCACTTCTAAATATTTATTTATATGAATTATTAATTTTTTTTATTATTATTATTCAATTATTTAGAAAATGTAGAAATGTAGAATAGATTTTTAAACTGAATCGTAAAAATTAACAGACTGATATTTTTGTACAAAAATAAAATTAGTCGTAGACATTTTTATTTTGTAGTATAGACACATTTTTTTATTTTCTTTTTGAACAAAAAACACCAAACGTAGACAATATTAATATTAAACGTAGCTAATAATAATAATAACGATATTATTTTTTACACAAATCAGTAGATTCTAACAAGGAGAGCCTTAAAAGGTTCACTTTTCTGTGAGTTCATAGTCAAACCGAACACCTTAAAATATTATAGTCCTGTGAGAAATAGTTTCATTATAAAAATTAATTAAAGATTTGAAATATAGTCTAGAATGTTCCGTACCAATATGTGTCGGTAGCTCAGTCGGTTTAAGCGCTTGCTTCTACTAATTGCGCTCGGATTCATAGATAAGAGTGTTAAAAAAATTTGTAAACCTGTGTCATTTAAGAGTACTGACGTAAATTAGGAGGATTAAAATCTATATCTGCTACTCGATTACTCAGTTAATTAAATCTTCAGTTACTCGATATGCCAGTTATTAATAATCACGATTATTCGACATCTCAAACTTTAATGAAATTTTGTAACTATACTACCTCTCACAGGCCTATAACATTTTAAGATGTTCGGTTTGACTATCAACTCTATCAAACAACAAAGTTTCAACAAAATCCTGAAAGAGTAAACCTGTAATCCGAACTAAATTAGCTATTTTTTAATTAATTTAGATATTTAATATTTATTATTTGCACGAGCTACTTATTTATCTAACCGTGTGTTCTAAAAAAACATATCTATAAAAAATGTTTAAGCAAATTTCGAGCTGTGATTTGAAAAAAAGTAGAAACCTTAACTTTTATTATTTATTTATGTAGTAACTAGTATTAACTATTAAGAAACTATTAATATTTATTTACTTAGAAAGCTTTTTATTATCTATAAATGTAGTCAAAAAATGGAACTGATTTTATAATGAAGTAGACAATCTAATAGTAGATAAAATTTAATTTTATTATAATTTTTGAAGGAGAAAATTTCCATCCAGAAATGTCAATTTTGTAAAAATTCTGTTATTGTTATGTCAGTTTTAATAATAATTGAAACGATTTTTTTTAAATTAAATTTAGTAGATTTAAAAACTTGAGCCATTTTTTAAAATAGCTAGATCAAATTTGTTATATATTTTGTGTTTTACTTATTATTTTTTGTTACAAATGCACACCTTACACACACCCATGTATATATATATATATATATATATATATATATATATACATCATAAATCAGGTGATTAAATCCTAATCCAATTTGGATTCTAACGAGATCCCTGTAATTCGATATGCCCAAAAGGGCACATATAGATATACATGTAACAAATAATGAGAATTTAGATTACATTTAGAAACAACAAAGTAGAAACGTATTGATTACGACTCATTAATTTTACTCGTGAGTTGTCTTAGCTATTTCTTAGGGTCTCCTTAATCCAGGGACGAACTCCATATAATAATAACAAACAAATAGCTGTATGCAATTTATTTGCATACAATGCAGTATATTATATAAACAGATATTTTTAGAACCGTCACTTATAAATTTTTTTTTTCTTTTCTATTCAAAATTGTTGTTTTATTTTATCCAACATCATTCATGAATTCTCTTGAAGAAACACAAAAAGTGTTATCGAAATCGTAGAGAATAATTAAATAAAATCTAAGTGATATGTTCCCACAAATATACCAGCAAACACATTTAGAATGTGACTGTGTCGAGCACTTATTCTATTTTGTTTTTGAATTTGTTTAAAAAATGTACAAAAAAAAATTTGTATGTTGATATCTTGTTAATTTAAAAATTGTTATATGTCTTGGAGAAATAAACAACAAGAATATAAAGTGGATATTTCGTTTTACTTATTAAATAATTTTTCCGATTTGGCGAAACCTGGATTGAAGAGACCCTTATATATATTATACAAAATAGTAAATAGAAATACATAACCCCTGTATGTCTTCATACTAAAAATTAACAAAATCGTAAGAACTATCTATTAGTAAGTTTAATATACATAATAATATTCCAGTTATTGATAATAGTTTATTGTTAGTATTGATATAAATATTTTAGTTGTAAGTCAATATTTATATTTAATAATATATACCTACTAACAATTTAGAAATTAAATTAGTGTAAAATGTATTAATTAAATAGTAGGGTGGAGACTTAGACTCAAGTTAGCACCATCTTCAGAAAAAGTAACTTTGTGACTTACAATACATTACAGTCGAACTGACATTTTTTTAAAGTATTTTGGCATTTAAGACCGATTTACTTAATATAAGATTTCTTGAGATAATACATATACGTATACATACATATATATATATATATATATATATATATATATATATATATAATTACCAGCCAATTCGTCAAATGTTAATCTCACAATATTTTATTAATTTTTTTTGTTCGAAAAGTTCAAGTGTGAAACACGCTTTAAAACCCTCCCAAGGCATCCACCACACGTAACCAGCCCCATATAAAATCATAAACGACTCTTATATAAAATTGCAAGTGTGGGTGCGGCTTTATACTAAAGCGTGCATCACACTGTGCGATAAATACTGAAAAAATGAAACTTATATAAAGTTTGTCAAATTTATATTTTTTATACATCTATATTTAAGTTTTATGCACTTTTGATAAGCTAAATAAAAAAGAGTGCGCGGAATGAAGTTTTCAAATTGTTTAACAAAATGTAGAAAAATGTCCCGACAAAACAAATATATACATATATATTAAAGCCGATTGTATGGGTAAAAAAGTCGCTTAGGCACATATGATTTTCGGATTCTAGTGATCAAAATAAGATACTTTGCTGAAGAAACCATACCTCTAAAATGAATTCTGATGGCCCGTGCATTGATCCAAAAATAAGAGTTGAAATTTGAAAAATTCCATTTTGACCCATTCAAAGTGCCCCAATCGGGTCCTAATGTATGACCGACCCCCACTAACTTTGGAAGGTCGATCCACCCATGTCCTTGGTACAATCCCTGGAACCTCCACTGAGCGGGTTTTCAACATTTAACCCTTATTTTTGGGTCAATGCACGGGACATCAGAATTCATTTTAGAGGTATGGTTTCTTCAGCAAAGTATCTTATTTCGATCCCTAGAATCCGCAAATCATATGTGCCTAAGTGACCTTTAAATGTACTCGCCCTAAATATATATATATATATATATATATATATATATATTCCAATATTTTTATTTCCATGCCTAGTCTCCACCTCTCTTCGTATGACTAAAAATATAACCAATAAATCAGATTGCTTAGAACTTAAATTAAACCCAATACTAAAATGATGTACTCTTAGAGATAAAATTTTTAAAATAATAATAATGATAGACTAGTTACTAAATAATTTATAAACGTATGTAATTTGTAAAATTCCTTAAATGTATCAAAAATCTAGTCGTGCGTTGGCTTGAGAAAATGGAAAGATCTGATAAACTAAAAACAGAGATATATAATTTAATTAAAAAATATAGTTGTTGCAAAAGATTTATTTACGTGAATATATCTAAGATTTTTATGAACTTTCATTATTAGACAAATATATTTGTGGATGATTTGATTTTAAAAAGTAAAGTATATTTTTTTCAAGAGAATCAAGATTTTTTGCTCGTCAGTAGAGTCCCCTTTATTTACTTTATACATTGTCGTTTATTTGCTCGTCAGTAGAGTTCTTTTCTTATCCTTATTAAATAAATTGATGATATCTATGATGATACAAAATAAACGTCCTAGTTTATTTGAGCATTTTTGTATGAAACAATGCGCAGAAAATATAATTTAGCCCCCAAAACTCGTTTTCAAAGTTTCGAATCGCTTCAGCCAATTTTGAAGTCAAAAATATACTGTATCCCATTAAATTATAATTTATAGGTTAGAATTCCACCTGTCAAGTCTTTCCATTTTAAAAAGGGCCCATACGCCACTTAACATCTAGTTCAAAATAGGTTCTTAGTAAATATTCAACTATGTACATACTAAAAATGTTAGAAAAGTTTTAGAAAATCTAAATAGTATATGTCGTTAGTTCTTGTTTTAGTATTAACTTGAAAATTAGTATCAAATAGTTTTTTTTTCAACATATCCATTTCGATTTTCTGAAATTTTTCAAGTTATAAAATAAAACTTCACAATATATATTATAAAAGTTATTTAAATAAACTTGGACAAAAACTTGAAACGAATTGTTTTTAACTAAAACTTAGTACTATTAGTTATACTAATATTAGTAACGTAGTTTAACTCAGTAGTTACACATACTATATTTTTTATATAATGTGAAGTAATTGTACTATTTAGTTCTAGTAGTAAAATGTGATAAAACAAATGTGATAGTAGGATAAATTAGGGTTTTAGTAGGCTCGAAACAAGTTGTACTGGAAACGAGCCTTAAAAATTAAAATCAATATATTATAATTAATAATGTTTAGAGAGTGATCTAGTTAGTTTTTAGATACTATATTATACTAAATTAAAGTAGGAGTGAATTGATACTATTTTTTGGACGAACAATGCGAGCAAAACTCGTGCACCGAGGGTTAAAAAATAGCTAAAAGTAATATATTCTTATTTTTTTAATTTTTTTTATTATTCTCTATGTATGAGTTCGGCTCGCCAAATTAAAAATTTATCAAAATATACTAACAAAAATAAATATTTAGACATTTAGATTTAGAAAACTAATTTTGTATTTTTTTAGTCAACAACAAATTAGTTATTGTTAATAAAAATTAATATTTATATAATATTATTAATGTAAAACAATTTAGACATATTAAGTCTTAGTTAGTGAAAAAAGTGTTCATACTTAAAACACTTTACTAAACTAACAAATAGTTAAACATAGTTGTCTTTAGTATTTAAAAATATTGAACAAAATTTAGCTATTTTAGATACAAATTGATGTGTGTTGTTATAATAAAATAAATAATCCTGTTAACTAAAATAGTGTAATCAATATATAAACAATCAACCAGTCTTGTTTATAAATATATAAAAAATAATACCGCATACTAAAAATAGTAATAAATAAATATTAAAGTTTATTTTTCCTCGAATTCGTCTTAATTTTAAATTTTAATACAATTTACTATTTTACACTATTTTAGAACATAAGTTTACATCAGGATTAGTTTCAAAAATTTGAAAATAGTTCAAGGTAGAAAAAATTTCAGGTTCAAAGGTTTTAGATATATATTAAGTGTGTCTACTATATTATAAATGTAGTTACATGTGTTAAATAGTGTGCAAGAATTAGTTTTGCACTATTACTCAAGTTATTGTAGTTAAAATTTATTAGATGACGTCATAAGGGTTGAAAATAATTTGCTGGTGGACCGACAGGGTTGAAAATTTGCTTATAGAATTTTATAGTTTCTGATCACAGCCCCTGGTTTAAAAATAAAAGCAGATTTCTGAATATTGTAGAAAGTAGATGCAACCTTGCGAATCTTTTTGAAGGATTTGAAATGTTGTAGTTAAATTAACTAATATTAACTTTTTTCATTTCTAACTTTGTATACCTAGGTTTTATCCAAAATAGACCAACTTTGACCAAACAAATTCAATTCACCAAAGATCGATACTTAAAAAATCTCAGCAGGTCCAAAATATTTAAAAATCCTACAGCTTTAACCAATTTTTCCCTCGTTTAAAGAAAATAACTACGTCATCTAATATTGTATCCAAAATCTTTTTTCGATTTTTTTCAGATACTTTGATATTAACTTATTCATTTTTTTCAGGTTTATCTAAATACTATCATTATTTATATTTCAGGTCGTGTGATGTAGTTTAGTATAGATAATTATAAAACGTAGATAATCTTACATAGATAGATTATTTTTAGATGATTTAGACCAAAATCTAATCTAAAAGACGAATAGATGCAGAGATATATAAAATATGAAATTAGAACTAGTTAGATGATTAGTAGAACTAGATTGTCTTTAATCCAAAATTTTTTATCTAATATTTGTTTTCATTTTTTTTTGCAGATTTTATGTGGTCTTTGGGAGCACTACCTGATGGTGAGTAATAACTTTAATTTATTTTTTGTTCAAAGACACCACATTTATAGTTCACTTTTTACTTTTCAAATTTTCTGTTTCTTTGCTTCCGCATTATCATGTGTAACCACATACAATCCATGAATTTTCTGCATCACTTTTCCATCTATTTGTCTCAATTCTAGTCGGTTCATTTCATCTTCTACATTATTTTCTAAATTTGAAGCAGTTTCGCCTATGCCCTGCTTTTAGAGTCCATATCTCTGATCATTATATTTCTTCTACCCCTTTAGGTTTTCCTGCAGCAGCCTACGCCGCCTACGCAGCCGGAAGGGGCTACTCCGGTTATCCTAGCTTCGGCCTGCCCTATCCTACCGGTAAGTCGCTAATTTTTGTTTTATTTTTATCATAAAATTGATTCAATTGAAAATAAATATTGGGAAATATTGGTGCATCGCCAATTCAGCCATAATAGACCACCATCAGGCGCCTTCGAGGGGTCTTCATCAGCCGGCAGCAGCTGCCCAGCTGAGGATCCTTCCGATAATGATACAGGACAGGATTCATGTAATGCATTTGTAAAACAATTATTGTAGAATATGAGCACCAGAAGAACCAGAATATTTTTGGGCATCTGGTTTGATCACATTAGTCGCAAAAACGCTTTCTTTTGGTATATGATTCAGTAATCGGATATAATGATGAATCTTATTATTTTGAGCTTATTTAATCTAAATATAGTCATTTAGTCCAATATTTGGGACTGACATGTCTTAGACGACTGAAGAGTAATTTCTAATTCACCAAACAGATAGCAGCTTTGATATCTGATTTAATTGTTTCCTGAATATTTTCCGAATTAATTATTAAATTTCAAAATAATTTGCTACTACTTTCATCGATCAAACCGATTGTTTTCTTAAGCCTCTTAATTATTATAATATTTAGATAATTGTTTTAAAAATATTCCAAAAATCTATATATGGTGCAAAGAACTTGCCAATAGGTCAAACCATAGAAGCAAAAACTATAAATAAAAGTTGTGACACATGATGAACCACAGACTAGGATAGTTATTGTAGAAATCTTTTAGGATAAAGTACAACTTGTAGCAGGAAAATGTAAGGTGAAATCTGACATCTATCAATTATCAAATGTAGAGGAAAGAAATGCATCACTTTTCCATAAAATTAACGGTAATCAGTCACAATAATTACAATTCACATAACGTATCCATTCTTGCTCAAATAATTTCAAATAGTTTGTTGGTGAAATAGGAGACATAGAAGAAAATGTTGGATTTCTTTCTACAGCTTTCTATTTGATATAAAATATAGTATCCCTACTATATTTTATATTTAGAGTCGTTACAGAATAGATTAAAATACTGCACTATGATCATATGGATAAAATTTAAAACGATCTTACATAATCCCTTCAGGAACTCCATACTAGTATATAAGATTACGCTCTAGGTGTTTTTGTAGATAATATAGAGAACAATCTGATTAGATCATTAGATCTAGGGTTGTGTGGATAAAACTGGATCATTATTTTCGTTTGGGGTTGTCTCGAATGATCCACTTTCCATCATCAGTTTCTTACTGACGTAACTAAATATATAGTTAAGATTAAGTTATAGATGATCTAGTTCTAAAACCATAGAATAATTTCCAGTTAATCATAGGACCGATATTAGAATTAGTCATGATGGGAATCTTGCATAAGATTAGTAATTTTGAATCTACTGGCTGGAAATGACTCCTTGTGTCTTCACAATATCATTTTTTAGATTATTTTGTTGATCTCGTCAATCATTGTCGACTGAGTCAGAAAGATCAATACGTTCATTAATAGAAAGATTTTTTAAAAATATGTCAACTTTCAAAGATCCTCTTAAAACGTGAATGAAATATCCAAATGCAAGTTGCCCTAATAAATTATTAAAAAAAAACTATATCAACTCGATGTAGTTAGGCAATCCTGACATAAACTTAAATACAGTTTAGCAGTAAAATATTAGTTCAATATAAAATTACAAATCAATACGAAAACAATCCGAAAGCATTTTATAACTAAAAAATATTTTGTAAAAATAAGAGAATTTTGTTCTTACATTAAGAGTTTTTCTTTTGTTAACAATAATTTATAAGGAAAAAAAAACTGTCCATCCAGTATTATTTATTTATATAAGTATTTGCATTGTAACTGTCAGTTTTGTTAAATATTCTTAATGTTATTGTTAAAAGAAATTTAATGTAAAATTATAATATATAAAGATATATTAATTAATATATTAACAATAAGTATTGTTGAATTATTTGTTGTTTTGCCAAACATATATTTTATTGATTTTCATTGAAAATAAAGCGGACTGCTATTTGAGTAAGTTAATAATAAAATTATTAATAGAATATACATATACTGAAAATATTTTTTAGAATTATATGTAGATGTAGATATATAATAAAGCTATATAATGTAGATGTTTATTAGTTCAAAAAACTTATTTATATATTATTACTTATATATTATTATCAAAAAGAATAGTAAAACGTGTAGAAATAAGCAAAAAAAATAGCGAAACATTGTTTGACCAGGAAAAAACAATGTTAACAGAATCAGATGACTGCTGAATCTCTGGTATTAATTTAATTGAACATTTTCACCGAAATTGAAATTTATTAGAAAAATATTTGGTTTTATATTTATAATACTCGTACTTTTTGTAAAATTTATTTTTAAAACCTCATATATTTAGTAGTTTATTTAAAATCTCTGAATATCACTGCCACACGATGCCACACTCACACAAATCTCAATTCATTTACACACATTTCACACATATCGTAGTTTTTTTAGCTAAAAAAAATTTATAAACAAAAAATATCAATATTTATTTTATAAATCTACTCTTAGAATTTATTTAAAGTAGCAACAATAGTTCATTTTTTCTAGATTTATAAGAAAAATAGTTCAAAATTTTTTCAATGTCAAAAAAATAAAAATAAACAAAAATATATGTTTTGCAAAATAGCATTTAGGCTTATAAAAATATTATATATAAAATAGTTATAGTTTAGTCTAGACTTAAGTTTTTAATCAATTAATTAGCTTTAGTTTTATATTATTGTATATGTTACAAAAAACTATTTTACACTTAAAAATATCTATTTATTAAAAGCATGTATTTTTAATATTGTTAGTGGATTCGAAGCTTACGACCGATTATTTAACCCAAACAAAACAGGAAAATCCATTTTTTAGATTCCATGGCCAAA